TCCTGCTGATATTTAGAGAAGAGCTGACAAGATGGAATCACAGACCAATGATTTCAGCACTACTCTGGCTTGAGGTTGTCAAAGCAAACCCAATCATCCCCTGCCTTTCTTTGAATTCTAATATGTCCCCTCAAAAGATGTCACTATTAGGAAGCTACTAAAAACCACATAGGAGAGGAGATAACAAGACATAAAGTAAGGTAAGCTGATATTTAGAGAAGAGCTGACAAGATGGAATCACAGACCAATGATTTCAGCACTACTCTGGCTTGAGGTTGTCAAAGCAAACCCAATCATCCCCTGCCTTTCTTTGAATTCTAATATGTCCCCTCAAAAGATGTCACTATTAGGAAGCTACTAAAAACCACATAGGAGAGGAGATAACAAGACATAAAGTAAGGTAAGCGAGAATAACTACAAGTTTAAAATATTCAGTGACATTTCAAGATCCTTAAATAGTCAAATAGATTTTCCCCCCCCAGAGGGAAGCTGGTTATTCAGTAGGTAGCAATAGATTCTCTTTTAAAACAATTAGAATAACCCATTGATTGTCCTAAAAAAACCTCTATTTTATCCATTGTATTGATTCTCATTCAATAAACTTAGGGCTCAATCCTGCACCCTTTATATAGATGAACTCTCAAAGGGGGAGGGCTGCACACTGAATACTCTGTAGGCTAAAAAATAGATAGACTGAGAGAAGTTGGGTCATCGAAACAGTCTATACCCCAAAATAATGAATACATCAAGGTAGTAGTGATGTGTTCAAACTGATAAATGCCAGGGGACAAATCCCTTTGGTATATGTAACCTGACTCCCAAACACCCCTAAAGAGAGTACAAAAAACAAAGCTCTGAGGCTGACATTTGGAGAAAATTATGATTTTGAAAACAATCTATTATCAGCCAGGAGTCACTATTAACCCCCATTGAAATACATTCTCCTGCGCCTTAATGAAAGTCCAGAAACATGCATGGAAAGGCTCAAAAGGACTTACCTATTACTGCAGTGGCTTGAATGAAGCTGAGAGCAGCTAATATCCAGAATATCATGGTGATAACGGTGGGCTGCAAATAAAGACCACACCCCCAGAAAGGAACGTGAAGACAGAACCACAAGCCAACCTGGTGGGGCTAGCGCATTCAGTCACTCACACATTTTCTCTCTCCTCTCCTTTCCCCCTCAGGAGCACTTGATGTACAAACTGAGTGAAACCACTGTGCTGGCAACACTTCACACCGGAAGTAAAGTTGTTTGATGACTTCAGCTTTTTTATCTTTAGGAAGTATCTTCTCTAGTTGCTTAAAAGAAAAGTTAATCCTTGGTAAAACTATTGTGCTGAAGGAAATGAAAGTCCCCCTTAGAGCATTCAGTAGCATGCCCCCTTTGGCTAGCCAGGGTTGTAGTAAGAGCTTGCAGACCTGTTTCCGTTACAAGCAGAAATGGATGAAGTAAGTCAAGTATATACTCTTTGGTGCAATTCTGCTTATTGACAAAGACTGTACACAGACCCCTGTATCCTTGAACACAGCAGACGCAAACAGCAGGCTAAGCCCTTGCTTGCCAGTCCCAAGTCTGTCCCTCCAGTCAGTGGCATGCCCAAGAAGCTCTGTCTCTCTCCCCCTTTCAGGGTCACACTCCCAACTGTTTCTCTTACTGCACAAACAGCTTCCCTCTGCCCATACACACATGCACGCCTTGCCCACAAAGCCCTAGCATCTGGATTGGCAACCAGTCCAAAAGGAATCCTCTTACAGCTGAGCCCAGCTCAGGGTTTTGAAGGTGACACTGTGCCGTTGGCGGTAGCCTCTTATTGTTTCCAGCTACCATCACATAAAGGAGTATTTAACTACTCCTTCCATGTAATCTAACAGAGGAGTCTGAGGTGGTTGGTCTATAAATCAAAGGCCTGCTTGATGGCAGCCATTAATATCCTCCAGCATAATAGTAGCATGGTCAGGCAACTTGAGATCTTTGATACTAAACTGTTTCCTGCACTCAAAAGGAACAAATTGACTATGGATGACATCCATAGGAAGTGAACATCTGTGCCCATTGGCAGAATTTGGCATACGATGCCTTGACTTCCCTTTCAAAATGGGATTTTGGGCACTACAGGGATCTTTAGCGTGGGTACAAGAATCATTTTTGCAGAGCAAATGGGGAATCCAAAACAAATACCCCTTGAGGAACAGTGAGCGAAAGAGAAAGAAAAAGAGAGAGAAGCAACCAGCTTAACAATGAGGCTGTGTCTAGACAGCATCCCTTTTCCATAAAAGAAATGCAAATTAGACACATTGCAATTGCAAATGAAGCGGAGATTTAAATCCCCCCGCTTCATTTGCATAAACATGGCTGCCGCTTTTTTCCGGCTCGGAGCTTTGCCAGAAAAAAGCGCCAGTCTAGACGGGGATCTTTTGGAAAATAAAGCCTTTTCCAAAAGATCCCTTATTTGCGGTGTAACGGTAGTTCGAATTAGAAAGCCTAATTCGAACTACCTACTCCGTGCCGCGTGTAGCCGCAGGCACGGAGTCCGCACTAACGGGGATTTAAAAATGGCGGCGCCCGGCAAGATGCAAATGAAGCCCGGATATTTAAATCCCGGGCTTCATTTGCAACTTCGATTGCCTACATTAGCCACCCTAGTTCGAACTAGGGTGGCAGTGTAGACATACCCTAAATTCTATCACCCTTGTCTGAAGGAGTTTAGGTGGGTCTTCCCAAGCCTCTTTCTTGCTTTGTCTTTGATTCTAGCAGAGGCCTGGGGGAGGGGGATGGTTTTCCATGAGTGTCACTCCCTGACTCACCAAGAGCACAGGTTTGACAGGTGGCCATGCCCTGGTTCCCCAAGAACACAGAGCTGGTAGGTAACTGCCCCTTAAAACTCTTGGGATGGGATGAGATGAGATGGGAAGGGAGGAGAGGGGATGAACAGGCCTGATCCCAGGGGCTGTCCTTGGTCCTTTGTACAGGGATGGGGGGAAGGTAACGGGGTAGGGAGTAAGGCTCCTTGTCCCATTCTCCACCTTCCCCTCCTCCTTGGGAAGGGGCAGAGCCAATCAGGTTCATTGTGTTTGAAACAGTCCATATGCAATTTGCGAATCTGCAGGTCCAGTTTAACTGGCCAGTGTATTATTTCCTCTATGCTCACCTTCACCAATTCCGCGTGTTTTTTGGTCATGTACTTAGTGTTGCTTAATGGCTTTCTTCTTGATCCCTGCAGAGGACTCCAGTGTAAAGAAAATCAGCACAACCATATATACCAAAGTGATATATACCAGGAGGCATACCTGGGAGGTCGACAAATGCCTTTTATGTCGACCGCGGAGCGTCCAGACTACCGTGCTGAGCCAACAAACAGCTGATTGGCTCAGCGCAGCAGCCATTTAAATTTAAATGAAGTGGTGATTATTTAAATCGCCGCTTCATTTTCCTATTCTGGGTAGTCTAATCTACATGCCTCTGTCGCCAGAGGCATGTCGTCTAGATGTACCCTTAGTCTCCCCTTTTCTAAGCTGAAAAGTCCCAGTCTTTTTAATCTCTCTTCATATGGACCCGTTCCAAACCCCTCATCATTTTGTTATAATTGTATAAAAACAAAGAAATTACCTACAAAGAAATGCTACTGCAACCGTACATGTGAAGAAAGAGTGACATTTTCAAATGTATACCCATTGACATCAAGGGTAACATTTTCAGAGGCAACTTAGACACACATGAGCCTGAATCCCACTGATTTTCAGAGGGAGGTAGACTTCTCAGTGCCTGTTACTTTTTAAATAGATCTTACCTTCCTGAGCAGGGGAGTCAAAGTTAACGGTTTCATGGTAATCCAGAAGTATCCATTCTGCATATATAAAGGGAGAGGAGCCACCACTGATATGAACTGTCAAAGCTCCATTGGCTTCAGGCAAGGCCAGGCCTAGGCCAAATGGCAAGGAGCGTCACCTCCACTTGTTAAACTTTTGAATATCTTACTTTGTATTACAGGGGTAGCCAATTCCACACCTTCGATGCATGATTTACTTACCTCATTTATCCCTGACACATAAGACGAGACACCTGCATGCTATGATCTATAAATCAAAATATTATTCTCAGAAAGTTTGAAAGGTTCCCTGAGATTCTACAAAGGTCCAGAACATTTTAGGAGGTTAGTGAAAAATGAATCTACCTGTGATTTCAAACATTCTATTTTCCCATTTATTCACTAACAAAAACAGCATCCCAAACTCAGTACCACCCTCTCCCCCAGGTTCAACACCCCAGGGGGTTGCCTGGATCCCCTGCCCCTACATCTGGCATTAGCTTCAATGGAACTATGACAGTGTACATCAGCAGAGAGTTTGTTGCATAATGTTTTGGTTATGAAGCTGTGAAATGTATAACTTCTTACCTTTTGCATTTCCTGATTTTTAGTGTGTGTTTTTTTAATACGTACAGCACCCATCTGACATCCCTGCCCTATACAGCTCTCCCCCGGTGACAAGCTCAGAAGCGTACATTCCTCTTTATGAAGTCAGAATTTGTTGTGCAATACAATTATCGTCCCCTTTAAAGAAATATCCGTGGAGCTGCTAAGCAGCCTAGCCTAATGATACAGTGGAACATAGTTCTTGGGCTTACCTCATGCTGAGTGACCCTCACAGGAAATAATTATTTTGTTGGACACTAATAAAGAGTAACTTGTAGAATAAGCCCTTTCATGTGATTTCTTCACCTGAATACAGTGGCTTCCACAGGCCTGGGCAAACCTAGATGATATCCAAATTCAACAACTTTCTGCCAAAAGAGTGACATTTTCTCAGAGTCTGGTTCTGCCAAAGCCAGCCTGTAGCATCATTTGCTGCCAAAGTTCAATGAGAAACAGAAGTTTCATTGTTTTTCTATTGCAACAAAAAGAAAAATACTGAGTCATAGTAAATTAGAAATGTTTTCTGGGATGGAATATTAACACAATAAATATGTTAGCAACAGCTTCAAATATTTCTACTCGGGAGCCAGTACCAAAATTCTGGGAAGTACGTCTTAATTTTTAAACTGGATGCTTCTTAGAAAAATGAATCCTGCATTAACTCACCCTTTAAAGATTTATTTCCAAATATTCCTTAGAGAAAAGTGTATAAAAATAAACCTTACTGCCCTGAAAAATCAGGGTGGGTCTGGGGATCGGGAATCCATTCTAGTTTTTAAAAAGCATCACATATGCCATTTTAAAATTACTTGCCTTCCAAGGAGTGCAAAGCATTTCAGATGCATTAAATAATACATAGATGCCATGGGAACATGCATAATAGAATTCCCAAGGTCTCCGGGTCTATTCTTCCAACTTACGTCCCTATAATCACGTGCTCAGGGGTGTGGAAATTCACTCCCCTCTTCAATGTAGTTATATCAGTCTAATCCCCAGTGTGAACAGCATAGTGTAGAGAAGCTCTCACTCTTCCATTCTAGACTGTGCTGCCTCCTTAGAATGTTTCAAACAATTAAGTATCCTGATTCTAAACACAAACTAACCTGTATTTTTTGCCTTTGTTACGTCAAGTTCTCATATTCAGTTCTAGACAAATGTCCATGCTTAGTTGCATATGTGCTATATTAAATTAAAATCTTAATTGTTTTTCCAAAGTAACCCTGCAGAGACAAGACAAATTAGTAAGCAGCAAGACTGGGTTAATCATAGAAGAAAGTGATTCATGACTGTTTTTATTATTAGAGCTCTCTTCTGGTGTTCCGGGGTCATGTTTATTTCAGGATTTCGAGTGCCAGCATATTTCTGAATGCTAAACATTTTAACCCACATTATTATTCATCTGGGAACTCAGAACAAAGATGTATTAGTGGCTGCCCATTAGCTAATATTATACTCCCTGTAGAAGCTATTTCATATTTCGCTAGAAGCCATTCTGTATAACAAAAAGCCATTTCAGTTTCTTGTGTCTGCACGAGGGAGTGAACTGGCCTTCACCGAGGTGGGGAGAGACCAGAGGGATGCGCTGTTGGAATGTGTTAATGAACTATTTTGAGCTGAAGCTCGAACTCCCTTTTAACCTGTTTCTTTCTATGCTGATAATAATTCCTCTTTGAAGTTCTCTTTAATTTCTTGCCCTGACGTCAGATTTGTTTGGTTAAGGGTATAAAATACTAGGATTGATTGTATTAAGCAGCCTTACTGGACCCGGCTTTGCTGAGACCACGTTTGGCTCACTTTGCTTTTATTGGCCAATAAAACTGTCTGTTTAGCCGCGTAAACTGAGTGAGGCGTTTGCTTCGACATCCCTATACTCCAGTTTTAAAAGTTTCAGCGATTCAGTCAGAGAGCCGAAACAACAGCATGTGAATTAGGCAACTCACTACTCAACATTGGAGGAAATAAACAAACAAGAGTATTTGCAAATACAACAGTTTCTGACCAACCCATCAGTTGAGGTGAATGTGTATAAGTCACCTAGACTAGTGAGTGGGCCTCTTTCATCTCAATGGACTGTAAAACTGTCATAAGTAGGATGGTCTCCTGGGAGAGGATAGTTTTGCTAACACTTGTGGGCCTAGAATTTGCAGGGTGTGTTTTTAATTGGATGCAGAGGAAACTCATGGCCCTTCCATTCAGTGTTGTGTGCAATCTCATTTCATGTCCCCTTGCTGTACGTGTGTGTCATCAGTAGGAATAAAACTATGTAGATGGCAACCAGTGGAACCTGGCAACCCTGCGTGTTGCAAAACATCTCACGAACCACACATAGAACCCTGATGGGCTGCATACAGCCCACAGGCTGCAGGTTGCCCACCACTGGCATAAGCTGTTTGGAAAATGCTCATAATTAACTCAGGAATTGGGATGAGTTTATGATCAATTCATGAGTGTAAAAAGGGGGAACAATTAGTCTGATCAACTGATAATTCAACCAATTCTGTCAAACAGAGGCATATATGGAAAATATAATCTACTACACAAATGATTATAACACATCCCTCTTATTCTCAATAGCAAGAGGAGAGAGTGAGGAAGGCAGCCCCGGATCAATTGTTCAGATACCTGTGAGCATCTGTGACAGCTCTTTGGTAAAACAAGATCTCAAGTAGCTGTGCACTGACAGAAAGGAGAACAAGTATTTAGCGCTTTCCTTGACTTGTCTCAAGTGTTAAGTACAATCCTTCTTTCCTACTATTGCCAGTTGACTCTGATTTGTAAAGAGTTTTTAACTGGTGTCTTTTTCTTTAATATTTTAACTTCTGCTCTTGGCTTTCTTCTTAGCCCTGAGCATAGTTTACGTTACATTTTGGTTCTCTTACATTTCCACATTTGTTTTCTTTAAAATTGTCATAGAGTCCAAACTAGTGCGATGGGGAAGAGTCCAGTATCAGGAACAGAGCAGCAGAAGCCCATTAACTTGCTGATAGAAGGAAACGGCACAGATGTGCATGAATTCTCTCTGCAGTTTAGCAAAACACCTAGCTGGCCAGGAAGTGTAAAGAAGAATAATCTGGGTTCAGGAAGCAAGACATCAGGGGTCACAGCAGCATGGGGCAATTTGAAGAATTAGATTCAGAGAGTAAAAAGTGTCTGGATTAAAAAAAATACTAAATGTTTCTCCTGGAAATAACATTTTAAGTACATAAAAAGAATTAGAATTTCTCAATCATGGGTGGTAGGTTTCACAGGCAAGAGGCGGCTGTGCTTCCCCTGGGTCTTAGTGCTCAACACTCCCCTCTTCCTATCCATATTCTAAGCACTCCTGAACGCCTCCGCAGCAGCAAACTGGTGGCTCTTCTCCTGAAGTGCATCTGTTAACTTAAATGTAAAAAATCTTCCAGTTTGCCAGGCATATTAGCATAACACTGAACCTGTGAAAGAGCCAGTAAGTGGCAATGAAACCATTTAACAGACATGTGCCAGCACTATTTACTGACAAGAACAGTTGTGTATGACTATGTCTACAGGACCTAGTTTAAAATTTGCTTTAAATATTTCATTAGTTTGTGGCTGAAGAGTATAAAATCACATCCCTAAAAAAATCCATACATAGATATTGAGATGCACAGTCTGAGTAGTTAGCCTTAAATGCTTGGATCTTCCCACATATACCTTTTTTAATACATTCTTCAAAGGACCACCCAAATACACATTTGTATTTTAGAAGTTATCTAAAATACACATTTTAATTTTACTATAGTACAAAAACTTGCTTCCAAAGTCCTCCTGTCCCTTTTAGTCATCCCTACTCTATACGGATAGCTGGACAAATACATTTCCCTTTTACTTCTGGCTATTTGATTAACTAAGTTTAAGACTGTGGTGTCCAACACACTAGTCACGTGCCTATTTGGCCAGTTGAGTGTGGCTAGTTCACAAAAGCAATAGCCACTATAGTGGCTACGGGACAGTTTTAAAAGAACCCTCCACCAAAATCAGTACCTTACTAAGATATAAAATCCTTTGATATGCCTAAAATCTTTGGAAACATATTTTAACATAAACATATAGTGAAATTTCATAACCATGTCTTATTTTGAAAATTCCACAGAATAAATTAATGTTCCCTTTTTCTAAAAGCAATGAACGTTGTTATGAACACACTGGACTGCCCTCACTGAGTCATTTAAAAATGTCTTTGTTTCAGTGAGTTTCAATATGGAAGGATTTAATCTGGAAGGATTACTTTATGAAGCCTTAAGAGTATATTTAAAATATAAAATCAGCTTTGAAATTCTGATGAAGAAAATGTAAATCAGAGACGACCTTCATCACGTAATCATCAGGACGACTGACTTGCCCGTATTACGAAGTATTTGCAAATAAATCTCAGACAATCTTCAGGGTATATTAAAAACCCGTGAGTGACATTTTTATTCCCAAATTTAGTGCTTTTAATTAAGTACCTTCTTCATGTCCAGTCTTCACAATCTGGCATGCAGTGGAAAACATGCTCCATTTTCTTTAGAAAGAAATTTTAGAAGAGTGGTGTTTTTTTAATGTCATTTGCTACATTTGGGTTCAGGGATTTGGCTGGCATGGGTTAGCAGAGAGCAGGGGGAGACAGTTGGGAGAGGGGGGTGGAGCA